GGAGGGGGGCGGGGGGGTATACTGTCGCCTTTCTGTCTAAAGATATAAATCTACATTTAATTTTGTCAATATTCAAATATCAGGATTATAATGAAAGAAAAACGTAAGATTCGATATGACGAATATTCTATGTTTTGCTGCCTTCACAAGCGAAATGGTAATGTAATAATATTCTCAAACATTTTCCTCAATGGTCCGGTAAGTTTGCATTTCGATTTATTGCCCCGCCCCCCTCCAAAAGCACAATTCAAAAACTTACAACAATAAAGTAAAAACACTATAATCAAACATTTTCCTCTGTGATTAGGTAAGTTAACACTTCTAAATCTTTAAAAAGCACAACTATTAAAATATTATGTAAATATAAACGCTTACTTTATAACCAGCTGTAATCTCTGTAAGCCTCATGATTCTAGATTTCCAGGCAGAATGGGATTTTATACAGTCTATCTTCGCTCTTAAATTTAATCTTAAGTCACGGAAGGGAAGTCAAAATAAGGAATATATGTCTCTTTAAAGCAATAAATTAAAACAAAATATATGTCCACCCATTTAAAGTTGACAAAAAGGGAAATTCTAAAACAGTGTAGTTTAACATGTTATTAGTCATTAGGTTCTTTTTATCTCTTTACCAAACATAGTCACCACACCTGATATAATTTGGGGTAAGCCAGTCCCAGGTCCGAGCGTAAGGTAACATTCCTACCCGGAGAAACTATTCATGTTTAGGGCAACAATAAGCAGAAATGTAGTCCCAGTATTTAGTTTTATAAATCTTGCTTACAGAGACAGAGAACAGTAAAAATAATATTTAACCCGTGCTCGCGTATCAAAGTATAGTGATGACAAGGCGATGAATGTAGGGCATTCGTACGTACGCCTGATAGAGGCCTATGCATCAGAAATGACCAATTAGAATGTACAGTAAAACTTTAGGATATAAAATACAATGAAATGATTTTTTTTTTTTTTGTAATTTCAAGAGTAGCCTGTTTATAAGTAGTTACATTATTGGGGTTAATTTCAGATTGCATGGTGCTGTAAGATATACGTGACAATAACGGAGTGTCTACAACTGTTTTCTTTTTAATAAATGTGCGGCATTTATATTTTCTGGAAATTTGAATTACCAAGTTTAAGCGTTTACAAATTAATGTTTTATGATTTCTAGATTTATATATATATATATATATATATATATATATATATATAGTGCAATGTGGTGCACAAAAATTATTTACACACACACACACACACACACACACACAAACACACTTATACAAATATGCACAATACAACAATAAATCTCCAAATTGATGAGTTGAGGCCGGCTCACCTAAGCAATAAAAATTATTCAGAAGTGCTTCTACATAACTTAAGTGATTAAGTTGATAAATTAAACAATTTGGTGGAAAAGGACAATAAGAAAGTTTTCATAAAAAGGTAAACTAAAATGTTATCAAAAATAAAAAATTGTACACAAATTTAATGTGAAATGCTGGGTAATACGAAGTAACTGTATTTTAATTTGCAGGCCTTGAAAATAATTGAAGAAAGAAGATAGTAACAATAAAGCATGTACCCATCTTAAGGCAGTGGAGAGCAAAATCCAGGAAACGCAAAGACCAACGCTAGGAAAAAATGCAAAAGATTAATTTCCTTAAAAAATTTGAGTTTCTGACAATATGGGTTAGGGATGCCGTAGCAGACCCTGAAATCTTGAAAAATTAGGCAATTGATAAATCAAGAAAGCGACATCAAGTTGGTAAAGTTGTTACTTACAAGAAACTTTATCACAAAGGAATCGCTTAACACGTTTTCACTTTAATCCCTGAGCTGGAAAAAAGTCTGCAATGATTCAGACTGTGACAGAAGATGGGATGGGAGATTACTAATTTATTTATTTACTTGTTAACTTTTACTTGCCGTGGCAGGCTTTTTAAATGTTTTTTTTTTTTATAACTGTTCTTTAATAACTACAGGAATCAGTTCTTGTTTGCTCTTATATTCAAGTGCATGGACCGTTCGAGAGTTGGGGAAAATCACCTTTTTTCAAGGAAAATTCGATTCGTCGAGAAACCCCGCATAAGATATCTTTGATCAAGAATGTACACTGATAAATAGGCATTTTATTCTGTTGTTCGCACTGGCTTCTAAAGAATTCATGGGTCACGAAAAGGCGACTTCGTGAAAATGAACTGAAAATAATTTTGGGTAGACCTTTATTTTACAAATACGTGGAAAAGTCACATGGGGGGTCATTCTTCCTATGTGCAGTATCGAATAGCCATTTTCAGAAAAAAAACAGGAAAACATTGTCCAAGGCAAAAAAAAAAAAAAAAAAAAAAAAAATCACAATGTAAACCCACTTTTTTTAGAAGTTCAATTCTTTTATTTGACCAACTGCGAAGTGAATACACTCCAAAACAGCAAAGATAATAAACCGAATAGTTTCCAACTAAGTTTTTATCTTTTACATCAATGAAATTCAAAATTCTGCTCAGTTTGTAAAGCATTCTTGTGTATATATCTGAATACTACGGATGTTGTTGCACAAGCTAGTTTATTTCGGGCAACACAAGATGGCGTGCCACGTCGATCTGCCACAGTGCTTATGAGAACAATCTGCATTTTTTCCAGAGCCACACGTTCCCCGGACGAAGAACCTACTTGGACAGGTCAAGAAGTGACCCCAGTGGCCACATCTCCAAATGCAATGTCCACGTTTGGCTCTGACCATGGCCTAAAATAATAAAACATGACACACTGTCAAAGAGGATTTTCTATTCATTGGAAAAAAATCTATAATGCTTAAATTAGATTTCTAAATTTTAAGTATATTACCTAATTGTGAAAATAAATGTTTATGGCAATTTTTGAAAGGCAAAAATTAGACCTTTTAAATCATACGAAAGAAAAAAACGTCGTTAAAATACATGGGATGTTGAGATCTGTAGACAGCCAATGCAGTCTAACAATTTAGGAAATGCAGACCAACGGTGCAAATTCATTCGATACAATGGTAATGGTGAGGGGTTATCCTTTTTACATTTAGAAATTAACAGTGCGTCGGTAGACAACAATTAGCACGACTTCATGGCAAGTCAATAGCTATTTCAAATAATTAGTTGCATAGAAATTTTATTCTATTTCCCTTTATCACCATATCACACCCTACCACAAACCCTTCCCAGAATTCTGAGCTATAAAAATGTGTGGAAAGCAATGCCTTAATGATAATTATGTGTGAATAGCTTCATCCATTTTTTCTTCTTCACCTCCCCCCTCTCTCCCTCCCTTTCTCTGTCGCTCTTGAAAACTTCACTTTCGGGATAAATTTATCGTATAAACAGATTAAAAAAATCACCATACTTGTATAGAATTTACAGATTCCATTCATTGTATGATTTTTATATTGTTCAAGGTTTCTAGAGCACTAATGTCATGGTCAAGAGCAGTGTTGGTTGGAGAATTTATTTCACTTTGACTTAGTTTATTTTGTCGGCAGCCTTTGGATAAAAAAGTTCAGTATTGTTTATTGTAATAAATTTTACTTAACAGTTTAAATCTTTACCTCGTCATTACTGTCCTCCACGCTTTGAAATTCGTCCACAGGAGCAGCGACCGAGACAGTCGCCAGGTAAAGTACGACAAAGAAACACATCAACACTCGGGTCTCCATTTTAAGTTGATCTGTAATACATGTAAGAAAGAGGTAAAAATGAAATGACACAACATATAGATGCATTATTGAATATAAGATGCAGGAACAAAAACGCATTTTCGTTATCTGAATGATCATAAACCCCTCGACAGTTTTTGTTTATCCGAAAATTGTGACAGTGGAGAAATCTCTTCTTCCTTATGAATGCTGACGATACTGAACTGTCATCAGGAACGCATCAAAGTTCATAAAAAACTATCAGATTCCCTGCTAAAAACTCACAAATTTGAAAACAAAAAGTAAATACTGTAAAATCAAAAGCCAATTTAAAATCTGACTGGATTTCAATTTGACCTGCGACATATAATACCATTCTGATGAGCCGTATAGAGCTTAAGGATTTAATAAATTGAAATGATAGAGAGGAAACGGTTAATTAAATATGATAATGATTAAATCGGCAACCGCCTCGTGGAGACATTCGTTCCTTAAATATTTTTCAACTTTTTGTCTTCTCTGGGGTTTCCCATACTGGTTTTAAAATAAAAANAAAAAAAAAAAAAAAAAAAAAAAAATCACAATGTAAACCCACTTTTTTAAGAAGTTCAATTCTTTTATTTGACCAACTGCGAAGTGAATACACTCCAAAACAGCAAAGATAATAAACCGAATAGTTTCCAACTAAGTTTTTATCTTTTACATCAATGAAATTCAAAATTCTGCTCAGTTTGTAAAGCATTCTTGTGTATATATCTGAATACTACGGATGTTGTTGCACAAGCTAGTTTATTTCGGGCAACACAAGATGGCGTGCCAGGTCTTTTTGCCGCAGTGCTTATGAGAACAATCTGCATTTATTCCAGAGCCACACGTTCCCCGGACGAAGAACCTACTTGGACAGGTCAAGAAGTGACCCCAGTAGCCACATCTCCAAATGCAATGTCCACGTTTGGCTCTGACCATGGCCTAAAATAATAAAACATGACACACTGTCTAAGAGGATTTTCTATTCATTGGAAAAAATCTATAATGCTTAAATTAGATTTCTAAATTTTAAGTATATTACCTAATTGTGAAAATAAATGTTTATGGCAATTTTTGAAAGGCAAAAATTAGACCTTTTAAATCATACGAAAGAAAAAAAAACGTCGTTAAAATACATGGGATGTTCAGATCTGTAGAAAGCCAATGCAGTCTAACAATTTAGGAAATGCAGACCAACGGTGCAAATTCATTCGATACAATGGTTATGGTGAGGGGTTATCCTTTTTACATTTAGAAATTAACAGTGCGTCGGTAGACAAAAATTAGCACGACTTCATGGCAAGTCAATAGCTATTTCAAATAATTAGTTGCATAGAAATTTTATTCTATTTCCCTTTATCACCATATCACACCCTACCCCAAACCCTTCTCAGAATTCTGAGCTATAAAAATGTGTGGAAAGCAATGCCTAAATGATAATTATGTGTGAATAGCTTCATCCCTTTTTTCTTCTTCACCTCCCCCCTCTCTCCCTCCCTTTCTCTGTCGCTCTCGAAAACTTCACTTTCGGGATAAATTTATCGTATAAACAGATAAAAAAATCACCATACTTGTATAGAATTTACAGATTCCATTCATTGTATGATTTTTATATTGTTCAAGGTTTCTAGAGCACTAATGTCATGGTCAAGAGCAGTGTTGGCTGAAGAATTTATTTCACTTTGACTTAGTTTATTTTATCAGCAGCCTTTGGATAAAAAAGTATTGTTTATTGTAATAAATTTTACTTAACAGTTTAAATCTTTACCTCGTCATTACTGTCCTCCACGCTTTGAAATTCGTCCACAGGAGCAGCGACCGAGACAGTCGCCAGGTAAAGTACGACAAAGAAACACATCAACACTCGGGTCTCCATTTTAAGTTGATCTGTAATACATGTAAGAAAGAGGTAAAAATGAAATGACACAACATATAGATGCATTATTGAATATAAGATGCAGGAACAAAAACGCATTTTCGTTATCTGAATAATCATAAACCCCTCGACAGTTTTTGTTTATCCGAAAATTGTGACAGTGGAGAAATCTCTTCTTCCTTATGAATGCTGACGATACTGAACTGTCATCAGGAACGCATCAAAGTTCATAAAAAACTATCAGATTCCCTGCTAAAAACTCACAAATTTGAAAACAAAAAGTAAATACTGTAAAATCAAAAGCCAATTTAAAATCTGACTGGATTTCAATTTGACCTGCGACATATAATACCATTCTGATGAGCCGTATAGAGCTTAAGGATTTAATAAATTGAAATGATAGAGAGGAAACGGTTAATTAAATATGATAATGATTAAATCGGCAACCGCCTCGTGGAGACATTCGTTCCTTAAATATTTTTCAACTTTTTGTCTTCTCTGGGGTTTCCCATACTGGTTTTAAAATAAAAAGTTTCCTTGTCTGCTCTTTTCACTCTTTGACGCTTGTCAATTCATCATTCTTAAACATTTTCATCAACAGTCGGTTTAAATGTCATTTTCTGAATCATTATCCCTTGCACAAAAATTAATACAAAAAAAAAAATATATATATATATATATATATATATATATATATATATATATATATATATATATATATATATATATATATATATATATATATATAATCATGATATATGATATGATATATATATATATCATAAAATTATTTTTAAAAACTTACTTTATGACCAGCTGGAACCGCTGTGAACTCAATGCCTTAAGGACGTCAGGCGGAATGGCAATCTGAATGATCATGCCATTATATATACTGTACAGTTTCAGTCGTGGTCGACTAGGTGGCCATAAATGGACATTTTTTCCGATTTTCTGAGAAGTCTGTTAAGCGTTTTTTTTTTTTTACAAAATATGATTTGGAATACAATACGCTTTTCAAAATGCAGCAACATAAGCTAATGAAATCACACTGCATGACTGATAGCGATTTTCGTCCCATAATATGCTGCAATAATAGCACGCTTCAAGCTCTTAACAAAGAGTTTGTTTACCTACACTTCCCTGGAAAATTACGATTTTAATCTCCCAGGTAAAAATCGTGACGAATTTTGATCCCAGACTATATATCTGATCACTAGTTTGATTCAGACGAAGACGTTATGTTTGCTTATTGCCTATTTTTATCTCCCAGTTCAAGTTACTACAGACAGTGACAGAATATCTACCGGTGACAAACTTCAGCATTTTCCTTAGTAGGTTTAATCGAGACTTTAAGACTTTTCTCGATCAGGTTTAAGATCTGTTCAACGTGGCTGACTGAGATTCGAAATAAAAAATAAAATAGATAAATATAAATAAAACGCATGTTCGGTACGGATACATTTTTTTTCATAAGGGTCACTCATTTTGACTACAGTGGGACATTATTTTAAGATTATTTTTGTCCAAGTTACCTTGCCCATTGCTGACCCTTTGGTGACCATTTCATGCTGTGTGACCAGTCCGACTTTTCGGGATGGATGCGATAACGAATGGCTGTATGGATGGATGAATGAATGGACGAACACACGAACGAACGAACGAATGAATGAATGAATGAATGACGGACGGATGGTAGGCTTATTGGATTGAGCACCAAGACGCAGACGCTCAGTTAAACAGGTGTAGGACCAGGCAGGTGTGTGGGCAGAGGTAAGGTATGTGACACGAGCCTTTCACGTTATCTCATATCCTGCATGTTACAGTCAGAAATCAACAAACATGGTGTACGTGGCCACTGAGTCCATCGCTCGGCGCCCTTTGTTGCAGAATCTGGTGGAAGCTGACCTCTGTTAACCGCTTACACTGAAGCCTCCTGCGTCTTGTAGTACGGTACGATTTGGGAGTAAAAAAATACGCTACGTGTCGACAACTGGTCGACCATTGAGCATTCATCATGCAACCAAAGCGATGCTTGTGCCTCCTTTCTACCACCACAGCGATGCCAGTTTCATGTTCGCACAAAAACGTGTAAAAGGGGTTTAAGGCCTACACTAGCCGGGGGTCTCTTGACAAGAGAACATAAGTCCGAAAAAATCAATCAGTCGGTATTGATAGACCAAGAATTAAGTCCACTTTTGGTCCATAATAAACCAGTTAAAGACAAATTAAAATATTGTGCCTGTTTTATAAAAAAAAAAAATGCGCTGCTCATGATTCAGAACAATACTTATTTGAAGTGGGTTACTTTTGCTTTATCTTGAACCAAAACAGGCCAAAAATGTGGCCAAAAAGTTTGGAACGATTTTGTTATCGAATGCTGGATAGAGAAGAATCACCGTCGAAACTCAGGGGGACATGGGACACAATAGTGTCTTGCAAATCAGCTGTTTTATTTTCTTTGATAAATCAACCGTCAACACCATTCTTCGTTTATCTCCTCACAAACTAAGATCCATGATATTTGAGTATGTTGTTTTGAGGCTGAATATACTTAAGCATATACTTCATAGTTTAGATTTGCTTGAAGGCAAAAAGGAAGGTTTTCTTTTTTCTCTCATTTGGTTATTGAATCAAACATAAGGTGTGTTTTGTGAACCATTAAACGACTTGAATATGCAATGTTTGAAAATACTAAATTATATTAATAATAACTTCGGACTTTAACAGCTGCCTCCCCTAGCATTTTCTCATACTATTGTCACTTCGCTCTCTCTCCCTCTCTCTCTCTCTCTTTCTCTCTCTAACCATTATTCATATTCATAATTTCTATTACAGTGAGCGTGTTACAGTTGCAATCTATAATACACGCGGATCCAGGGTTTTCCTGGAAGAGGGGGGGGGGGGGGTCATGATTTTAATTTTAAAAAATGTATCGAATCATTTCGCTCGGCAAGAACAAAACGGTATACGAAGATTGACAATTGTAAAAGTTTACATTTAAAATATAATATAAAGAGGCCAGATATCGATGGCAAAATCACTTGGTTTTGTCTCCTTTCATTTTTCTTATGGTGGAGGAGGGTTAGAATGTGGCATCCCAGAAACAGAGGGAGAAACTCGAAAACACCATGCCCCCATCCCCTCTGAAACAACTGATGCCAAGAAGAAATGTTGTGTAGTAGGAAAGGTATTCCTTTTGGAGCCGAAATAAAATAGAGATGCTACGAGGAGCATCTGGCAGCAAACAGATGAAAAAATCTATTAATACCCTCACTGTTAGTTCTGAAGTATTTATGTTTATGCCACTTCTTCTCTTTCTGTCTGTCTTTCTTTTCTTTCTTTCTTTTCTTTTCTTTTTTTTTTTTTTTTTTTTTGGGGGGGGGGGGGGGGTGGAACAGAAGATTAGAAGGTACCCCTAGAGTATTAAAATACGGTTCAACCCACTCCAAATAAATACGTAAACATCTTTTTTGTTACAGGGTTATAAACTGCACTATCATAGGAGTATTATTGGGTATACATCTTTTCCCAGTCATCCACAGGCTAGCAAATAATTAAAGAACGTGATTTATTTTATTGGATTACAGGTGATATATATAACTGCACGCCTCGTTGGAGGGACATTGCGAAGTTGGCAAGAAGTCACTTAAGCGCGCTCTGCACCCGTTGCCAAGAACCTCCAATTCAAAACAACAGTATTGCGTTAACAGCATTGCGGGTAAATTTTGCGCATATGGATCGTTATCCTTCCCGCCTCAGCACGCGTTCCGCTTCTACTATATACCCTGTAGGTAACCTGCTGTATTATTATTGTTGTTTTGAAGCACACCAAAACCTGCTTCCACCAAATGATAAGCCGGAAGCCCCAAGAAACCCAGGAGAAACTGTTAGAGATCCCTAGTAGCAGATGGTAGTGGGGAATTCTCAGGTAAATAGACCAACAAGCGAAATGTATTGGTCTATATGCTATCGTCTTCCTATCCCCCCTGTATAACCATATTGGCCACAAAACAGCGCCGGCTTTACTGGCAGGCTTGTATCGAATAACAACTGTGCTCCATTTATACGATGCAGCGCATATGCGGCTGCTTGCAGACGATCTGAAGGAAGACACCTTTTTTGGAGTTAGGGCACTGTGCATATGAAGGGGAGGGATGGGTATAAAAAATCAGTAACCTCATCTAGGAAAAATAGCAAAATTTTGAATAAAATATTGGTTTTGATGTATTTATTTGGTAGAAACATATAGTAAGAATATACATTTTGAAGAATTCCTAAGTTTTGAGTGAAATTTGACGCCCTATCTGTGCATCTTGGCGCAACCTGACACCCCTCTCATCCGGCACGTTCTATCGTTAAAAGCGCCCCCAAGCGGAAAGGGGAGTCAATACGTGCTTATCATTCCTGTTCTTTGGATACAGCAGGCTTCAGTTCGCTTCTCTGTAACACGCATCGCACGTCCGAGGATTTTACCACACAGACATCATGGTAAGTTTGCAATAATTTGCGCTTCAATTTTTCAGTGTCTATTAAATATTCCGGTGTGAAGATTGCTGTTGAGTATTTTGTATTCTTTGAAGCATGATTTTTTTTCAGCAACGTTATCAAATTTCAAATAATTCTTCACGTGACTAAGAGGGCGGAAAGTGAACTTTATCTTTTATAAAGAACCAATTACAATTTAAACTAAGTCCCCCAACTGGAAAATGTCTGTAAGTTCAGTGCTTTATGAAAGCTAAAATATACAGTGGATATTTATTTATTCAATTTCTATCTTTTACAGACTGATCTTAGCAAAGGTGAAATCGAAGGTAAGCACGCAGTTTCTCCCCCCTACCTGGACTGACTAATTGCGAATTTCCCCGGATCCTTAAAAGACGCTTCGAGTCTCTTTCACAAGAGGAATATATGTTTGAGAGTGAAATAATTGGAAAGAACTTCGAGTGGTTTCAAAATCGATTTTTGATTTTCATGTGGGATTGTATCAGTGTGTGCATTCCACCTGGTTTGTCGTTACTTGGAAGCCGCCCTGTGCGACTGCGTAACCTCAGAATCCAGGGATTTCGAACCTGACTCCCAGAATAGAAAACCTGTAGATGGTGATTTCCATTTCTTTGAATTTCTAGCCCGTGCCTACGATTGGAAATTATGCATTTTGATAAACCTATTTGCAATGGAGGTTACCTGCGCTCCAAAAAGGTGGTTTTTATTCCTCTTCGAATTTGACCTCCATTTTTATTGATGACGTCACAGTTGGCAGGTGTCTGGTTATCCTAGTTAAGGGACTTATGTCGGGCAATGCCAGAAAAAGGAATCCATTTATATCAATCGGGAAGATTTGCTGGAATTGAACCCTCCTTTTCACATCATACTTTAAAAACCTCGTGTTTATTGTTTCAACATTTCGATGCCAAGTTTAATACCTTGTTTCAATTTTTTATGAAAATCTTTTATATCTCATTTTGCATGACCGACGAATTATTTTCACAAGAACTTCACAAGGAATTCGACTTATGCTGAGGTTAAGATATTTGCAAACTATGTTCTCTTTTCCTCTCTCCCTCTTTTTTTAAAATTTTATCTCAAATTAAAGATAAACTCACAATTTATTGTTTCTGCCAAGATATAATTTTGCTATGACGATCAATTCCATTGCTGGAAATTAACGATTTCAAAAGAATATCATAATATACAACTAGATGAAATCGCAAAGGCATTTTACGCCAAAACCTTAGATACTATACTTCCTTTTCAAACCTGATTTAGCTAAGGTATGGTATTATATAACCGCCTTCCTTTTGACCCACCAAATCTAGCATAGCTGCAAGGTTCAAATGATATGAAACAGAAACAGGTGCAAAGCAGCGGCCAACACCTTGCTGCCCGACGCAAGAGCCACCTGGCGGATTAAATTTGGACTAACACCGGCTAAGGTGGGGTAGATCAGATTACCTGCCGACTGTGAATATTATTCCAGTTTAACTCCCAGCCAGGAGATTTTCTTTATTTCATTGTCATCTTTTCTGAATGGGAGGATATTTTTGGAAAATTTATCTGCGCAGCGTGGTACTTTTGAATTGAAAAGAAATCTTTAAAATTCTCACCTGGCCCGTAGTTGGTTGAAAATTCAGCAGATTGTTGTCCCTTATTCAGGGGCGGATCCAGAGATATTTTCTGACAGTCTTCTAAATTATTTTTGTTGATCCATCCTCCATTTTTGACCGTCTTTCGACTGAGAAAATAGATACCCGTCAATGTAAACTTTAAAATCTAACCGTCTTCCGGAAGACCCAGAAGACGTCCAGTCTCAATCAGTCCTTAGTTATTGCTGGGGAAATTTTAAATAATTTTTTGCAATTTACGTTCAGAGAGAGAGAGAGAGGGAGAGAGAGAGGGAGCGAGAAACCCCATTCCCATATTCTGCATGAATTCATTATCACTTCACATGTGTTTGACATGAAATATGCTAAGGCCCTAATTTTCCGTCAGTCCTCATAATGCCTCGTGTTTAAATGTTAAATAAACACCAATGTATGCCGCGAAGCATTGTTAAATATTTAACATAACCCTAGTTTTGGTGGTGGGGGATTAGAGCCAAGTCTTAGAGTATAAGGTTGTATTGACATTAAGCGTTCTCAGTAAGACGCACGTCAATCAGGGTCAAAACGAGAAAGAGATTGTTTTCGGAGTCGTCTGCCAAGAACGCTGATTGATCGTCTGCTGCATTCCGAGAGCCTTATTCCGGTGGATTTTTCTCGAAAGTTTCCAAAGACAATGGCGAAAAAGCTGGATCCTGAAGAACTTGAAGGTAAGGGTGTTCTTGTTTTTTTGTTGCAAGACTTTGATGTGATTTGAGCGTGAATAACTCTACACTGATATATGGAGCCTTTGGTATGCTGACTCACGCAGATTAAATTTGCTCTGGATTTACACACCTTTACTCGACCTCGATGCTCGACGAGATGGCAAGTGTTAGAATGGGCTTTACCAAGCAATAAAAAGAAATAGGGATAAGATACCGTTCTATCTTTCATGAGTATTTTCCAAAAACGCCAAATTTTCAGGGCGGTTTCTATTTATAATTTACAGTATTCATGTAGCAATGAATAAGTTTGTAAGCATTTCTTTTAAGAAGTCATAACAAAATACAGCAGGAGTAGGAAATATAACAAAAGCATTGGATGTGAAATATAACAAGAACATTTAACGTGTAAAGTGAGGGTTAGTAAACTTAGGGTATTTACAACCCCGCAAGTGAAGAAACTACGCACATTAGGGACTATGGATGTGATGGAACGCCCTTAAATGCTGAAATGTTACCCTTTTCGCAGTTTCACCAGTTATATCTTAACTATGGAAAGATTGAAAACATGTCTAGAAAACCACGTTCGGATGGTTAGGGAATGCGCAAATATTTATGTTATAGCGGGTAAATATTTAATTAAAAACCAGCATGAATTCTTAAAGTTTGTAAAGGTGAATCCTGCAGCTTTTCTTAAAGGCAGTACGGTTAAACAAACAGAGTTGGTCTCAAACTATGACTTCAAGTTGAGCATTGTGGAGCTGAAATTCTGAATTTTTACATGCAACTCACGTAACACTGTTCTGTCCTCGAACCGTACGAAGATTTTCAGGAAAAATATATATCACAGGGTTGGGGGCGGGGGTTCGGCTATAAAACAGGGGTGGGACCTAGTGTGAAAATAAGTTTAGGAGAGGGTGGGGTGGGGCGGGTGTAACCGGATCCTCCTTTTTGGCCACATATATTTTTTGACATGCTGCTAAATAAATGTTGGATCCATGCATAAAGATAAACGCTGACCCCCCCCCCCCCCCTTCCCCCCTCCAGGCCTGATAGAGTCCTGAACCCGTTGGTATGTTTCATATTTCGTGTAGTGAAAAAGGAAGAAAAGAAGTGCTGTGATTGTAGGTGCCGATAAAATGCATATTTGAGATCAAGTGTAGGGTAAAATATTCGGCTTTTTTAGTCAGTGTGTTTACGCAGAGAGTTATCCCGCTGTTTTGAAGATAGCGGCAAGCCTATATAGGGCATATTGTGGAGTACGCACAATGGCTTAATATTTATGGTTGAAGTTGTGTGTGTGCGTTTGTGTGTGTGTGTGTGTGTGTGAATTTTCAACATTATTCATGAATGCGAAAAGGGATTGGGTCGCTGGGAGATGATTTTTGTAATAGTTTTTGACATGCCATAAATGATCTAATAAATTATCAGTTTTTTTCAATATCTGTAAAGCAAGCTAAGAGAAAAGTTCACAAAAAAAAAAAAAAAATCTGTCGCCCGGGTAGAGAGTACCGTCTGCCCGACCTCATATAGTTGCTTTAGTGGGTATTTTCACCTCACTTAATGATGTTAAAATGCAGCTACCTTGTCTAGAAATAGAACTGGCGTCCTGACCTTTGCGAGAGGGACCGCAAATTGACACGTGCCACGATATTTATGCAGGGTGAAACGTCTTACTTTTACGTCATGCTAGCTAATGGATGAGGGGTTAGAGATAAGTACGTACGCATCTCTTGAAAATGGGGCCCTCTTTTTCGCGGCTAGTTCTTATCCGAGCGAAAAGTGGAGAGATAATGTAGATTCGTATAGAATTGAGTAAGGGGATTTTTTAGAAGAGAATTTGTAAGAAAATGGTTGAATTTTATTTATTGTTGGTAACTATTAAGTAGTCCCTGAACATAAGAAAGAGAACAATATTGTATATACCCTCCTCGATAAAAGTATTTGATAAAGCCAAATTTCAGTTCTGAGAATTCATATTAAAATTGTTATAAAGGGAAAGTTATTTGCCTTTTACATTTGTATGGTTACGTTGGAACAAAGACTTTCAATTGCGATAATTTTTACCATTACTTTAGATTCTTAATTAATCAATAGTCGCACTGAAAACTGGCTTGACAAATACTGTGGTACAGCTGACATTATTGCTTTAAAGGATTAAAACTATGTTCACGACTTTTCCGAGAACATTTGTCATTACCACACAACCCCGATCACACTCGTAGAGACCAAAAATTAGTCGATGATCAGTAAATTACTCTAGCATCAGGCGTTTATTCAACCCCCTCTTAATATGGACCTATGAAACACGAGGGTCCATTGATGTTCATGTTTGCCGAGGGAAACGATAGGGGTTTAACTGCGTTTGTAAACATGGCCGTGAAAACTACTTCACTCGCCGTCGGGCAATCGCGTTGCACTGTTAAGGGTTAAGAAGTATATAGTCCTTATTTCGGGCATCGGGGAAGGTGGGGTGTAACGTTACCTGAGCAGTTTTTTTAGTACTAGTTGAACGCATGTTTCCCACATTGTGAAAATTCCGTCATTGTCGGTCGTTATTTCGGCCTTTTTAAATGCTTAGTATAAAAACCATTTGCCTCAAAAGTGAAAATAAATGAAAAGATAGATAAATAACTAAACAAACAAATAATCACATTGTAAGTGAAGATCAGGAGCAATTGAGAGGTCAAATTTGTGGCAGAAATTTGGCTTTAACCGCCCCAAGGACCGATATCAGATGTGGCGAGTAAGGGTGGAATGGGGGGCAGGGGGGGGGGGGGGTGAAAGGCTGGGTATTGACGTTCTGTAGACTTATAGTGATGCTTTTCAAAGTAAACACAAAATATTCTGATGAATATTCTTGTGTTGGTGCATAAGCTGCAAGTAACATGCATCATATTACATATACACATATACGGTATGGGCATATTGGAGTGTAAGTATTGGAAGCAGGGCCGCCGCCCCAATTGCATTTAGCAGTATAGGCTGTTATAGTGTATCGTGTAGAAACCAAATGACTGTTTCATTGGTCTACCATGTTAAATCCAGCAGCACAGCCATATAGTCATATAATTATGCACAGCCCCTGGCCCTAGAAATACCGGTATGTTTCGATTCAAAGAAAACAGAAGGGTTGAGGTGAGGGTGAGGGCACAAGATGAGAAACCCCCCCCCCCCCCACCTTAACAGTATGGTCAAGTTTTATATAAAGCGTGAGAAAAATCATAGTCCAGAGAAAAGCCCGATTAATCTCCGCACCTTATATAGATGGTGATCGAGAGAAGATATGTGTTCTTAGAACGTCAGGTGGGTGCTCTGAAAATAAACAAGGTAATATCCACGAGCCTCCCAGAAATAGGCATGTCCGCCCACCACAGGTGTAGAGATCTGTGTAGAAATACTGGGAATTATAATTATAACCCGTCGATCACCTGTTTGTAATGTCACAGATACATGTAGAATTTTGTGGAAGAGTTTTTGTGCGTAAGCTGTGTGCTTGCAGGATAGGGTTAAAGTCTACGTCGAGGTTTAGTCTAACTGATAATAACATTTTTATTAATACTCGGACATTTGAACTAGTTTTATCGTGATTAATCGCTTACGAAACTAGTTGCCGTTGCACTCGATGGATGTTAGAGAATATATTTTCACCAAAACTATGTGAAAAAAGGGCAAAATTGTGTCGAGAATATGTAGCCGTTTACTGATAAAGCACTGAAGTGCAATAATCATCACACATACTACAGTTTGATGATAAATTATTAATGAAAGTAGATTTATCATGAACATGAAAACTAAAATTTAAAAACAAACGGGAACAGAATATAAAAGACGCTATTACAGAGAACAATTAAAATGGCAATGCAAACAATGCAATCAAGAGCACGGAATCTAACATTGCATTTTAAAATGTCATATGTCCTTATTATGATATTGATCAACTGAGAAAAAAACACATACTAGATGGTCTAAAACCTTCTAAGCACCTCTTGTTAACAAAATGTCATTTTGGATTAGTTGAAGGGTGCAATTGGCTTCACGTGCTGGCAGGAAAAAGACGGGTAATCCTGAATATCAAGTGGTTATGAACTGAAAAGTGACATCCAGAAGATATTGATTGAGTGTTCATGTCTTTAGACTTTTAACGTGAGCATAAATATATTTCGTTCCTCTAAGCTGTTGCTGCTTGTAGCTGTTCGAATAACCAGACGATTTGGCTGTCACGCACACACACACACACACTAATAAATATAATAATTTCAATAAAAAGGAGCAAAATGGAATTCGGCGCTATCAAAGGTTCATATTTTCATGACTTAATGAAAATAATAATTCGAATTGAATTTGTCAAAAATTGGATCTTAATGTCTGGTCTTACTGGATTCTTACACCATAGATCCCTGGGGTACCCTGAGTTTCAGAGATAAATAGGAACCGGTCTCCGTCATCAGAACACCTCTTCTGTCCCAGGTACTCCCTGAATATCCCAGGGTGTATTGCGAGGGAAGAAAGAGTAACGTTTCACTGGGAGTCACAGGTGTTTTCCAGGTGTCCGCATTTCAGTGTAGATCGTGGGTAGTGTAAACATTAGAGCGATCTCTTCTGGTGGAGAGATGATGTTAGCTTGCACATGTTTTTTTCATTAAGATTCCAACAAAATTTTCCTCGCGTTTTTAATCACGGGTGCTTAAGGAAAAAGATGTGTCGCTACGCACGTTGGGGAACGTGCGTAAATCATACGAAGATCAGTACATGCTAACAGCTATAGCCAATGCAAACGGACAACACTAGACACGCACGCACACGTACATGCACACGCAAACGCACGCGCACACATGCAAGCACCTACAGTAACCTGTGCATCCCGTGAAGTCTTATGCCCATGCAGGCAGCCACTCTTTAATCGGTTTTAATATCCGTTAAGATTTCTCCTTAGATCCCTTTCGTCCAGGTCCTAGCCACTACCCGGTTTATGTTTTTACCTTAAGGCACCTCGGGTGTATGAATTATAACGTGTACGAGGGTAGAGAGTTCTCAAACCTTTGTTCGTAGTGCTTGGACGCCTTGCCGGGTAAAGATTAATGGAGTGCACGCTGATACGAAACGCAAATAAAATCCTATTGTAAAAGATGAGGAGACGCGTTCATTATTGAAATCTATTTGAAGCAGGTGTTATATTATAGGGAAATTCAGTGCTAGATAGGTTTCTGCCTTAGAATATATTACAAGTAAAAAATCAGTGTAATGTGCTAGAAGTATTTCACAAAAACTTGACTCTTGGCCAATTTTACCGACATCATCACTTTCTCACGCGTACGCACACGCATATGAAATGTGAGAAGCAAATGGATCATTTACGAAACCTGATGGTCTTGCTCTGTTTGGTCATTTTCACTCCCAGTTTTATAAATACTAGTAGTAGTTTATCAATATTTCGATTTGGTTTTGAATTTTTTTTTGATCGTGTGCCGCCAGGCCGGACATGCGCACTTGAGATAAGGCTCCCTTACCACTTTCCAACTGAAGCATTCGGTGTGTAGATGATAAACACATAGATATAAAGTAACACGACCTTAATTGAATACTTATCTGAGTGTCTTAAATGTTAAAATGCCTCGAGTAGTTGAAAGGCTAAGTAGAGGTACTTGCAGCAAATGCCTATCTAAGAAAGAAAGTGGGTATAAAAATAGGGCAATTCTCTTAAAGAGGAATCGTTTCCGTGGCCAGCAACATAAAATGATCTTTCACTAATTCTCATTTCATGCTTGTATATATTAATAAAACAAGGAATACGGAACGAAACTAATTCGACGCTTTACCCCACGTTAGGGTTTATTTTTATGGCGATGACCTGAGATCTTATGGAAGCGTAATGATGTCCCGAAACCAGAAATCCTCTCCCAATAATCTCCCTTTCAATCTCCACACCCACCTCCGAATCTATTATGTCGTTCCCAAATAAGGCAGCGAGGCTGGCTTACAGGTGTACTGCAAATATAAGCAGGCAATTTCTATCAGTGTTTTCAAGAACAAGACTTCTGCTAAAACGTACCTTTAAACACAATTGTAATAAGAAGTTGAATTTTGATACCAAAGACATTGTGTGTGTTTGTGTGTGTGTGTGAGTGAACTATTCCAATCGTCAAGCTTTTGTGATGAAAAATACTCAAGGTGATAAATTGAAGGTTAAAGGTGAAGCCCATCCTCTTGGCGCCCTAAGGACTATAAATGCTCACAGGTGAACCTTGAGCAGGATGCGGTATCGGGTTTCCCCTTTACACCTGCTGGTTAACGCTTTCAGGAAAACAGTAGGCAATAGAGGGATTCTCAATCCAGACTCCAGACTGTGATGTGTAGAATTTCTCTTTGGCAATTGACTTAGTTTTTAGCCTTCTTAGTTCTTAGCCGGGGAACCCGACCTAAATTTTTTTGTGAGACCGGGATCTGGAACTACTAGACTTTTATCAAACGAATACAAGACAAAGAAAGACAAGAGGCCACACAATTTTGTAAGCACACTAAGAATGTACGTGTAACAGCCACAGGTGATTTTAGAGAAAAAAATGTATCAGCATAAAAATAGGTAAAAAACCTACGTACAGAGTGTATCGCAGGCCCTCTGTTATCATTGAAAAATACTCAATTGATAAAACTAGATATAACTGAAACGTATGGCTACCCGCGGGTACGCCTTTACAGTGAGTTGCCGTTGGTTTCAAGTTACGGTTGTACCTAGCGTTGAACATAACCACCGCCTGTGGTGAAACTTGATAGAGAGGGGCAGATAATTACCCCAACTTCTGTAGGACGGAACTTGGTATTTTTCCTTGCTTAGGCAAGTATTACTATCGGCAGTGGGTTGTACGAGGTGAGCCCATTTGACATATGCAAAGGTTTTCTTTGGGGAATAATCTTACAGAGTCTGTTTGTGTTATGCTATTCTTGTCTTTCCTTACGATGCCTCGCAATCAGCAGAAATATCTCTTGAAGACAAGCATTGGCATCGGAAGCGAGACTTTGTATTAGTCATTTTCAGTAGCAAATTTTCCCAGTGGTCAGCATACCAAGGTTAGACTATTTCATAACAGATTATTTGCCATACTTTCATTGATACTACATTGTGTGTTTTTTTGCTTGTGTTTATTTTTTCTTGTAAAAATTTTTAGTTATGACGGTCACTGTAAAATTGTTCTCATAGTAAGCGTCTAAAATCAGTTTTTACAACTAACACAATGCAGAATCTGAAATGTTCCAAGAACGCACCAAACACATTCTCAGCATGCGGAATGTCATTCGGCCAAACTCGGTGATTCTTAACCTCCGCGATAGTCACGAAATTTGCCGAGTTATCCCGAATGTAAAAACACACCACAACGTCTCACATTCTCACATTCTCACCTAACACATTTCAGATGTCAAGGAGGTGTTCGATCTGTTCGATTTCTGGGACGGAAGGGACGGGTTGGTGGATGCCGCCATTGTAGGGGATTTCCTCAGATGTGTGGGACTGAACCCGACACATGAGGTAGTCCTCAAGAACGGAGGGACCAAGAAAATGGGTATGTTTCAGTGGGTGTTAAAGGCATAGCCAATTTCACGATTTTCCGTTTTGTATCGTCTTATTACCTACCACTTTATCAATGAATTGTGTTCCATATCCCTGATAAGCTACACAAACGATCAGATAAAACGTACCTGTCATATATTGATAAACGTTTGTATTTGCGATGGCTTTGTCTATATTAAAAGATTTTAGTTTTCACGTTTTCCTGTAATTCCTTCAATTAAAATGCATGTTTTAATCTCACTTTTTCCCCCGAGTATAAAAAGATGACGAGGAGATTTTATTTCTCTTTTCTAGGCGAAAAACAACTCAAACTAGAAGAAATCATCCCCATATATCAATCAGTCAGCAATATCAAAGATTCGGGGACCTTTGCGGACTTCATGGAAGCTTTCAAGACATTTGATCGGGAAGGTCAAGGATATATTTCATCGGCAGAGTTACGTCACGTGCTGACAGCAGTCGGTAAGAGAGTGATGAAGTCACGAGGTTACAAAATTTAAAGAAATGAAACAGAAAGAAAGAAAGAAAGCGACATTTAAGAATTTGGTAAAATAATGATTTAGAAAAGGCAAAACTCAACAAGATATCATTTGACGTTGGTTTTTTTTTTTTTTTTTTTTTTTTTTTTTTTTTTTTTTTTTTTTTGCTTTATGAATAACACGCTTTGGCAAAGGTGAAGACTACCTTAATTAAAAAGATGCTTGACAGTAATGCCTTTCCTGGGTTAGGTGACGTCATGATACTGTGAAAGAAATCAAGCAGAGTTTAATTCTTTCTGCTCCATTGTATAACGTTGCTAAACTCGTATAACATATGATTTCAGGAGAGCGATTGTCCGATGAAGAAGTGGACACAATTCTGAAGATGACGGATATTCAGGAAGATTTAGACGGGAACATAAAATATGAAGGTACCGAGAGCACTGTTGAATTTCATTAATGGCGGATCCAGGGGCTGGAAGGGGGGGGCTCAGGGGGCACATGGCCCTCCCTTAGCATCCACGTATCACCCACTTTCACCCTTCACTTCGCCCACTTACAATAGTATAACAAGCGAGACAAGACAGAAGCAGCCAATTTCTCAACCCTTGTGCCCTACATACTATGGAAAAGTCTCCTCACAAGGCATTTTGTCCTTGTGCCCCCCCCCTCCCCCCTTTGCAAAACCCTGGACCTGGCAATGTACGGTAATCGGTTTGATTGAGACAGATTAAGCTATTGCATGTCACAAATGCATACACAAAGCACTATTGTTCTTTTTTTTAACATGTGCGTGTGTATTCCCCACCTCTAATGTAGATTACATTTTCTCGTAAAGATCGTGTTCTTAACTATACATTGCAGAACTAAAGGAGAAGAATTTCATCAGCTGTGTTAAGTTATAAGAATGATTCTTAGAACTACAGGAGTTATTGGAAACTAAAGGAGTTATTCCGTGCCTGTCTGATGTGTTTTAAGTAGATGCATTTGTTTCTTTCCAGATTTCATCAAGAAAGTATTGAAACAGTGACAAAGGAATGAAGTTATGGTTTTAAAAACACAGAGATTCCATGAAATGACTAACATTCAAACCAAATGGACCAAGATTTGTTCAACAAGTCAAGTTGCGCATTCCCGATGGACGTATCCAAATGCATGCTCAAATACTTAAATAGTTGAAGACCATATAATCAAAAAATTGACTTATTACGATGCATAGATAGCGCTTTACTAATGAGAAAACAAACAGTCATCCAACCTAGAGAATGAGACTTTAAAAATGCGTTTATTGCTTTATTCACTTAAACAGTTGTAAAGAATATTTAAGATTGTCACTAATTTCTCTTCAATGAAGAATTGATAGTTGAATCTCTACGTCAGAGCATTCTGTGTTTTGTATAGTCGTCATTTAAGTTCAATATGTATATCGTGTAAGTTGCTTGGCTTAGCCTTGATGTTAATAAAGTATTATAAAAATACGGAATATTGATGTATTTTTTGCACTATACCGGTGAATTGCTCAGACTGTATACATATCTCCATTTATGTGTTTACATACACTTATGTTTGCAAAGGCATGCATATGGTGGTAGGTATATATGTACATGTATACAACGAAATCTGTAAAGGCACATTTCAAATTTGGAAAAGGTAAAATAATGCTCCTTTTAAGATAAAAATGTGTTCGCACTTTCCAGAACGTGCGCAAGTGGTGCACCTATCAGGTGTCGATTCAGCACCAAAACTGAATACACTCAAAACTCACAAATCCATCACGTGGTAACCACGTGTCTTTTCAGACATCTTGTTTTTTGTCACGTTTTGATCACACTCTCTCCACGTGTTCTTTCAGATATCAAGGAGGTGTTCGATCTCTTTGACTTCTGGGATGGTCGTGACGGCTTGGTAGATGCTTTCAAAGTTGGCGAGTTCCTCAGGTGTTGCGGCATCAACCCAACAAACGAGACAGTAGCGAAGAATGGCGGCACAAAGAAAATGGGTAAGTCCATCTGGCTGACATGGTGACGTCACTGAAGGTGGCCATACATCACAACAATTGCATGACGTAATCATGACGTCATTGTAACACAATTATAGCTGTGTTATGTGTCTTTATATACTTATGCATTTAGAAAATTATGCATGTGTTCATTGTGTTATAGTGTTATTGTCGTTTCAATTTAATAATAATAATAATAATAATAATAAAGTAAATGAATAAAAGTTTATGAATAAAAATTACGAATGACTTCTACCACGTTTTCATTCCTATGCGATGAATGATAACTGAAAGTAGATTTTAGTGGTAATTTCAGTGAAAAAAAATTGGGGTTCATTTCAAATTAGAATAGTAAACTGTTCTCAGTTTCAGAATTGAACAAATTCATAACGAGCATGCATAATTTGTTTAGCAGGCTTCTCTTAGTTTACATCGGAGATACTGTTCCTACTATTTTTGCTTTTTTATATATCCAGGTGAGAAACAATACAAGTTCGAGGAGTTGCTTCCAATCTACCAGGCAGCAGCCCAGATCAAAGACAGTGGAACTTTCGCAGACTTTATGGAGGCATTCAAAACCTTCGACAGGGAGGGTCAGGGACTCATCTCAGCGGCAGAGGTTAGGCATGTATTAACAGCTTTAGGTGAGTACTCTGGGTAAAGCTAGGGGTGGGGTGGGGGGTATATCGTTTTGGTATTGTGCAGCCTTGGAGGTATTATCGTTGAAGATATGTTCTGTGAGAGAAGTAAAAATAGTTTTATAATCGGAAATTTCAAATGGGTTATTTCTTGTCTTTTCTTTGTGTGTATGTGTGAGTGAGCGTGTGTGTGCGTGCGTCTACTTGTCTATATGTAAAGCCTAGGTCCCAACCGAACGCACAGACTGCTACATGTGCTCTACGGCCAAATATGGGGAAAACGTGGGAGTTCGTGCGTGAGGAGCACGTCCATCGTTCGACTTTTGGAGGACGCAAACAGCACGTAGAATCTTTTGTACATGATCAACAGCCGCTTGATTCCTTCCTTGCGATCTAGCTACGTCCTAACCGGACGCAAGGGACCCAAAAAACCGTGCGTCCAAAACGTAGTTGGGACATAGGCTTAAGCAACGTACCTTGAACATATTTGGAATCTATTGGATGGGACAGGAAAGATGGAATAACGTTCAGCTAAATTAAAGGGGACAAGCCCCGACCCATGGATACTTTTCATGTAATATTTACATATGCATGTACATATATCCGTATGCAGGGGGTAATTGGGTGGGTGGGGTTAAATGGCCGTAAGCATGGAATAGCGAAACCCGCTTTATTGCATTATTCATCTGAAATCTTTTAATGTCTAACCCTGTATTTTTCTTGATAAAGTAAACTGATGTTCCTCCACTTTTTTCTGTGCAGGTGAACGCCTTTCAGATGACGACGTGGACCTTATCGTAAAATTTACCGGAATTGAGGAAGATTTAGACGGAAATGTGAAATACGAAGGTAAAATTCACCCACATAGCTAATTACCAATGAGGTTCTTTTCATCAGCGTTGTCTGTTTGTGGAAAAGATGTAGAAAATTGGAAATCGGAATTAATGACAAACAAGTTTAAAATATTTTTCTTTAAGAGAAGTTTATTACAAATATTTTAATATTTTTACTCCCCAAAAATAAGATCCTAATTAAACTTTCTATGTTACCCCACGTCTGTATGTACTTTAAATTCATACACCGGACAAATCGTTATATTCAGATCAGTGGTGCAGAAACTTTATATCTTTATTACTCCTTTTTTTTACAGATTTTATCAAGAGAGTGATGAAGGGTCCAGATCAGAAATAGGCGATCCGAGGATTTTAACTTCACAAATCAGCTGCAAATACTATCTGCAATCTCTCTGCTCAGCTGTGAACTTTTTAATTATCTCATAAGGAGACTGACTGAACGAACGAAGCCCTGTCCAAGCTGACGTCACTTCCGCACCCATTTTGACCAAGCGGATGTGACGCCAGCCATTGACGTCACATCTGTTGGGTGACGTTTATGGGCGGAAGTGACGTCAACAAAAGTATACGTGTAATCCTCCAAGGAACTCGGATGAACCATTGGCGAACTGAAGTGGTGTTAACAACGATGTACTCACAAGCTTTTTAGTTTTCTATTCATTTGTAACAACATAGTTAATTGCGTCTTGCAATTGTTTCTTTAAAAATAAATCTTTTGACCGGCCGGTCTCTGGGTCTGTTACACACTTTGTAATATACAGAACAATCTGTAAATTCATTTTTTAGATTTTAATTCCAACGTTCACTTGTAATTACTCTACACAACACATAATTTGTAGAATTTCAATGGGTAAGCCATTCAGACTGCGTCTATCAAGACATGCATAGCAATAAGACACACATTCATTGTAGCTTTGAACTTCTTTTGATGGTGTATCTATTTCGTTCCTTACCCACCGTTTGCCTGTGACCATATCTAATTGTCTATGTCTAAGGGAGTAGTATCTCACAGGATGGCCGCCTACACGGTGGCAGATCCCGTGGTATGTACTACTGAAGGGTCTGTTAGGCTCGCCCATCAATTTGTGCACTCTTCGTTGACGACTCTTCCTCCCCATGTGGAATGGTTGGGCGGACAGTGCAGTGTATTACTGGACAATAAAGCGTGCCCGTGTCCATTAACTCTTTGTGCTTGTTGTTAATGTTTTTAATGAGCATTAGATGATTTCTCTGGTGGATCTATGATTTTCTTTGGATCATCTGAAAGTTGATATGCCGTAGACGAGTGCAATTTACAATTATTTGGTATAATAAAAAAAATGAATATGTCACATTCCGCTCGTCATTCAATTTCTGTTCACTTTTTGCAAAGAAAAGATGGGGCCTCTCTGAAGTGAGAGGGGAGCGTGCCCGCCCCTGGGTCCACCTTTGAATGTTCATCTGCATCTCTCTCTCTCTCTCTCTCTCTCTCTCTGATATCATACAGATATCATACAGTCATAAAATCCTTAGAAAAATGTGGAGTTCGTTTTTGTGTGTTGTGTTCTTTTTTAAGGATTGAACCATTTTTTCCACGCGAAACACAACAAAACATGCTATTTTAGAAACGCATATCACTGCCTAAATCTTTACTGTTTCTGCACACAAGTATTGATGTTTCTTAAATTACTTTTATTTTTTAAAACACAAACACTGTCTGTCACCATTCGGTTACAAATTTTAACGCACTCGTTTTCCTTGTTTTATATATAGAAGTATATGTATTTGTGCATCTTTGAAGATCCACATTTAAGTTGTAAAATACAATCCGAGCTTTCGGCCCAGGGGCCCAGGGGTCCAAAGCTCGGATTGTATTATTTATATATCCATTATGATTTATGCGGTGAATTATCATGAATCCTTGTTTTGTATAGCAGCGCGAATTGACAATATGATTATCCTGCTTCTACTCAGGTAACATAATACTACACCGTTCCCTAAAACATGTCTTTTCGCCTCCTTTTATACATGTACTTGGTGGTAGGGAAAGAAATAAATCGAAAAGCAAGAAAATAAGTGTGCGACAACGTGACCAATGTCCCCAGTGACATGAGTTCTCCCTTCAGCAAACGACGGCAATCTGCTCTGGTGCAGAAATTCAGCAGCTCTGGCAAGAACGGTTGATTTCTTTTCAAGTTAACAGAGAGGGGCGCACCAAATTGTCCCCATCAAAATTTCAAACTCATTTCATCAATATGGCCTTACCAATGTGACGAAACTGAGGACCGGGTTACGCCTATACGAAGCCGACTCCCTCTGCCCCCCCCCCCCCGCCCCCGGTTGGCGTGGGGTTCGGGGCCCGCTGAAGGGTCCCGAAAATTTTTGGTATTTAACAGGGCGAACGGTGCCATTTGGTACGGTTTAGTACTATAAATCATATTGTCCAATATTTTTAAGTCCAAGAGGAGAATATAACTGTGGTTTTTTTCAGAAACCGAAGGGAGGGGGTCAGGACCCCCCTGTCTCCCCCTCTAAATCCGCCACTGCATACTACGTATGAGGCACAGGAAGGACGCCGTCCAATATAAAGGGAATAGCCTTAAAAAAAAAAAAAACGATGAAAATTCAAATAATTAAAGCCTTAGTTTTAGGTGCCAATTTTTTTTTCATAGAATGATAAAAATTTTGCCAATAGGTCTATACCGAACATATAATAGGCCCCTACAGGGGCGGATCCATGATTATTTGAAGGGGGATCCACGGATGCCAATTAAGCCGACCCCGCACTCCCCCCTCCCCCAGCTGAAGGGCCTCTTAAAATTTGGTATTTTAGAGGGCGACCGGCGCCTTTTGGTACGGTTTAGAATTATGATTCAGCTAGTCAAAATTCTAATTTCAAGAGGGAACCAGATATCAAAAGGGGGGTGGTCAGGACCCCTAAATTTGCCACTGAAATGAAAATGTTACAACATTATTTTGTCCTAACGCCCATAGAAATAACTTCTCACGTTGGCAGCGATACTACAATACGGAGGAGAAAAACGTTCGCAGCTACCGCAATTGCTCCCACGAAATTAATTTTGCCATTCTCGAGCATTGATGAAATGCTTTTGCAGAGATAATGCTTTGGCTTGCCTTTGTTGCTTTAGCAGACGTTACCTGTCAGCCACTGACAGATCTGTCTGAAAAACACATTGATATTTAAACTAAAGATAAATCTCTGAAATTGTGTAATATTTTTAGAACCATTGGTCTAAATCCCCCCCCCCCATAAAAAAACGGCCATACTCTCAGCCAATCAAATCAAGGAGCTTCCCAAGTGCCCGGATGTGTGATGCAGACGACATGCAGACTGATGGCGCTGAACTCGGTCATGATTGCATTTTCCTGCCGGCTTCCTGTCGTAGAAATCACTTTCTTGAGAACTAATTTGGTGTAGAAGGGTGATAGTAGGCAGGGTTAAGATTGAGAGGTTTGATAACAACTTTTAGAGGTAAGAATGGATAAAAAGCGAAGTGTCATGCTTTCCAGATCTGTTACTTTATCTCTGTGCACCGCCACCGGGTATGGCGCCGTAACACACATCGTCGTTTCTGTTGCTACTTTTGAATTGATAAACATGTGTATCACACACCAAAAGAAACAGTGGAACTTTCTAAAAAAATTCTAACAAGTAGTTTCAATTTCAATTAGTTTCAATAATTTCAATTGAGCCTTCCATAGTATCTGTGCCATCAACTTTTCGGCTTCTAGTCGAGTTGCCACTCCCATAGGCCCAATAGTCGAACCCTGCAATGTTCTTTCCTGTAAACTTTTTTTGCTGAAATGCATTCTTCAGGCCGAGAGAAGCAAAATTAGCTTGGTTGCTATTTCCGAGACCTTGAGCATTTTTCAATATGGCCGTCAATTTATGAGGAAAAATAGAAAAACGACCAGAAGTCGCCGGGTAAACTTTATTGACAGCTTTTTTGAACGTGTATCCTATNTTAAGCATATTTCCTTACTCAAATGTATCAAACGTACCACTGGCATAATACCGGTAAAGATACAGGTAAAGATGACACCATTGATAACTGGGTTTACAGCGCTGTTAGTGCAGGATGGTTAGTGTCAGATTGTTATCTGATAAAGTTTGCTACTGGTACCTGGGAACAAAAGGTCTGGCACTTGACAATCAAGTTGATAAAATCACCAAACGCCTGTAGAAAATAGAGCATACCTGCCCAACATTGATCTGTTCAGATTCTTGACTAAGGGGTGCGTTACTGGTGTCAAGGGCCAAGACTTGAACTTAGGGGTTTGGCATGTCACTGGACATTCCCCTCGATTTCTGTCCAAATCTAATAAAGCCTCAGTTGCTTAACTTTCGCCAAATTTCCAATACCTACAGGTTGTGTTGTTTAATGCTTGGGGTCTCTTCTCTGGCGGCGGTTAATTGGGGACACCTGTGTGGCCTGTCAACGCACCTACATTGTAGATTCACTTTTGCCAGTGCCACATTTTCCATTGCCGTAAATATCAAATTCGTGAATAGAATGAGGAAAAATGACAGTTATGAAAAAATGTTTGGAAGTACCTGTCACCTTCGCCACAGTAACCATATGGGCTGTGTTGCCCCCCCACCGCAGGCGACACCTTGCGGAGCAAGCGTGCGTAATCCAGGGTACGTGCAACTGAAAATAACCTTGTCGCGCGACCTTATTAAGAGGGTGGTCCGGGCATCCGTGGGAAATTTTGATTCCCATTCTTGCATTTTGAGAGGCAAATATTTGTTGATAAAGGTAAGTTTAATACGACGTGAACTAATTGACAAATTTACTCTGCGCAGCCCGGGGCCTTTTAATTTAGGCAGCAAAAATGGAAAAGTGACTGACCTTTGACCTGCTTGTGAGTTTGTTGACCAATCACAACCCTGGATCAGCCACGGTCGGCGGTCATTGTGATGGTTGGAAATACTGTTGAACGTTTTGGAAATGTTAATGATTGTTTCATAGAACAAGTTAATTTTTATTAATGACCTGTTGCAAGCACTACACTCGAGCTTGTTTTTTAGCATAAATAAAAGTAGCTCGTCAACGCCAGTCTGTGAAATAAGCTTTTTAAATTTTTGATTAGATAGTGATTAGAATATAAAGTGTCTGTATATAAAAAGGAATGTCACTATTTTAAACATAATGAAATGCCTGGTTCAGACCAGTCTCTGAAGGACAAAAAATAAAAAACACTGTGTTTACTTCCATCTCCATTTCACCTACTTCATCAAATTAATCTTCATCATTCTCCTTTGAAGTAACCAAAGAATCTGTTACTACATCCTGCTAGAAAAGACAAATATATAATTCAATATAAAATATCATACAGTACCATAAAAATTAAAAAAAAAAACAAAAAAAAAATGGAAGACTCCTAATTCTTCTCTTTCCAGAAAAAGTGCTTGTTAATCAATTGTCATCAGAATTTCACTTTTATATTTTATTAAAAAGAAGTTAAAATACTTTAAAGCAGAAAACAAGAACAGGTAGAAAAAAATTGAAACTTACATGTTCTCATTAAAACTTCTGTACGTTCAGATTCTGCCTTCTGCAGCCGATGCAAGCAGTCCGCTAGACACTTTGATTAGCAGGAACCGCCAGCACTCGCGCCGTCGCTTTGACGTGCGGCTCTGAGGACTTGTGATTCTTAATGCCATCTAATCGTAGTAAGGTTTTTCCTTAGCCGAAAGGTGAAGAATCTCCTTGACAGCATGCTTTGCAGGCTGAGCTATGCTGTCAAAAACAAACCAAGTGCGCCCCGATTGCCGTGACGGTAGAAATCCTCTTTGGTGTTTATCTGTTCAATTTCGGATAATTTCTTTTTCTTTGACATTTCTGGCTCAGCTGTTTGTTAGGGTAACCTTTATCCGGGCTTTGCATCGTCAAAATATTTCAGAAATTTCTCCATGACGAAAGTTGGATAGAGAAACATGTGGTAGAAAGAAGTGCCATAATATTGAAGTAATGTCCGCCACTGTTTAATTTCGACCAATGAAAAGCGGCAAATATGACACTCCCATCCCCCAGGCATTACGTCATCTTCCTGTCTCTATCTGTGACCAGCTATAAATAACGTAGATCTAATAATAGCAACGGAGATTCTGCACAAACACGACCAATTCAGCAGGTCGGTTACTGCGATAGTAAATCTTTTGGAAAACATAACGGTTT